CTCCAAAGGCAGAGACTGAAGTCATTCTTGGATTCTGTTGTCCAAGTGGACTGTGACAGCAATCTTCCCATGCCTTGCCTGATTGGTTCCCGCCTTTCATGCCGAGAATAAGCCTTTTGTTTTTCTAGGTTCCTGTCGTGGTTATGTGTATGTTCTTTAATAATCAATACCCACCAGCATACTTCACTTGGTTCTGAAGTAAAGAATTAAAAACGCTGGGGTGGGAACAGGGTCACATAACTCCTGCCCATGTCCCAGTTGTGAAGAGGGACCCAGCATGGAAACTCTTCCTTCAAAGCTTATGGGGTGTAGAAATGGATAGGAGTCAGTAAAATCATTTGCTTCCTCAAATACCTTCCAACAGTTTGACTGTGTTCACCAGTTTCAGAAGAAAATTTACCTGATCCACTTCTGTGGCTCCTTTTTCTTTGCCGTGAGCTCCACAGATAAGATATAGCAGGTGAAGCAGGACCCCACAACTCAGTTCCCCTCATAGTTAGCCCAACGGCTGAAATTATCTTTGGAGATAAATAGCAGGTGTTTGGCTCAAAGTAGATTTCCGTTTTTGTGCCCATCCATCCCCTCCTTCCAATGTCTGCACACTCTACATGCACTGGGGGTAGGAAACTTACGAACCTTGGCTCCTGTCTAGAATGTTCTAGAAGGTATTCATCTACAGAGAATGTGAGGACTGTATCTTCAGCTGTCAAACAAAATCCTAACCAAAACATATATGCTAGAATAGACATGTGTTGATTTGCTTCTTGGACAATTAGGTCCTGAAGGCTTTGTTCCTGAGGGAAGCCAGCTGCCCTGCCAGCCAGTTGAGCTTGGCTGAGAATTCCAGGCATCCCCTGTGCCTGGAGCCCCTGTGCCTGGAGAATGGAACGCTCCATCTGGTGTTTGGAGAATGGAAAGCTTAACCAGGTATTTGGAGAATGGACTGGTTTCTGGCTAATGTGAGCTCAAAACAGCAGCATTTGACCAAAGCATGGACAATGTATACAATGGAAACTCAAGATCTCATTAGATATTTTATTATAAGAAAACATTGCTATACACTGGCATATTAGTGGAACATGACTTTAAACTCCAAGTTATAATTCTAAAAACCTACAGCCTCCAATTGCTCACAGAAAGACTATTTCTTTTGTCTTAAGAAAATACATAAGAAATAGATATCCACTGTAAGCTATCCTTTATTTTGGACACTTGAGGCACCAGACTCACTGAGTCACTGGCTTTCTTCTGTTTGGGAGGCAGGGGCTCCATTTCCTAGCACCATCACATGCCACAGTTAAGATGCTTTCTCCTTACATAATAGGACACATCATTTCCTTCTATCATCCTAAATGTCTGTGACTTTCTGTTCTACTGACGTTGGATCAACTCCCCCATGTCTCCCACTGCACTGACCAGTTGCTATGATCTTTCTCTTCTCCATGTAAATTTTCTTCTCAAACAGACCTCTCTGAAGGTCCAGATATCACAAAAGGCTCCTACTTCCCACAGTGTCATCTTCATTTCATCCCTTAGCAACCTACGCCCTCAAAACTCCACGGGCATTAGCCTCTGTCCTAGTATAATCAAGAAGAAATGGGGGGGGGATAGGCAAGCCTTTGGGGAGATGATGTGTGACACTGGACTTACAGTATCCCCCAGAGAATGCTGCGGCAGTTTGTATTAATTGTGGATTCGTGGACATTCATCTTTACAACTCCTGAAGCATTAGCAGAGATCTTTGTGTGAGAAAGTGCCTTAAGGAAAGAAGTCTTGGACCATGGGATCTACTTTATACACCAAGAGACTTCAGGAATGAGGACAGCAGGGGGCAGGCACTCTGTTAGCAAAGTGAACACAGCTCAATTGGCCCCAGTGTTAGTCTACCTGCATCTTGCTCTCAGAACCTGCTGCCAGCAGCCCGTGTTCCTTGTGCTGTAGAACCAGGGACCTCAGAGCCATGTAAGGCTCTTGCCTCTTAAAATGCACAGATTCATGATTCTTTTACAATTTTGAATTCTGCTTATTTTATGATATTCTTTAGAAAAGTTAGGGTGGAACTGTGCACACTGTAACAGAAAACCATTAAGTGCTTTTGTTTCATAGTTTATTTGGAATTTATTATTTATTCTTTTTTCAAATTTTAATTAATTTTATGTGTATGAATGTTTGGCTTGCATGTATGTGAGTGTACTCATGTTGTGCAATGCCAACAGAGGTCAGAAGAAGGGATTGGATCCCGTGGAACTGGAGTTACAAACAGTTGTTAGCTGCCATGAAGGTGCTGGGAAGCCAGTACTCTTAACTGTCAAGCCATCTCTCCAACTCCTTAGTTTTAATTTTTAATTGTATGTATGTGTGTGTGTGGATGGGTGGGTTTGTGCGGATGTGAATGCACATACTGGAGGGGGCCAGAAGAGGATGTCAGACTCCTTGGAGCTGGAGTTACAGGTTATTGTGAGCCACCTGACATAGGTACCAAACTGGGGTTCTCGGCAGCGCACACTTAACCTCTTTCCAGTCCCCCCCCGGACTGTGTGTGTGTGTGTGTGTGTGTGTGTGTGTGTGTGTGTGTGTGTGGTCTGATACAAGTTGGATGAACCCTTACAGAACTTACCCTGCACTTGACCAACAGTGACTTCCTCTAGGAATTTTAAGTCATGAGCCATTCAGTTGGGACAAGGTATATGGAAAGTCTCAGGAAAACAGCCATGCATCTGTGCCTGTGTCTTTGGTTGTGAATGCATATGCCCATATATGCACGTGTGTACAGGTGTGCACATATGTGCCTGTGAATGTATACATGTGTGTACTTATCTGTGTACACACATTTTTGCATGTGTTTGTCAATTTGGGTGTCCAGGTATGAATTTGTGTGCACATGTATGTGTTCACAGGAATGTGTGAGCATATGTGCTGGTGACAAGGGAACGTGTCTCTGTGAATGAATGTGGGCAGGGGGCCAGATCCATATCCTAAGGAATTCCACTGCAAGTTCCTGCCTTTATGGAGCTATGGAGGTTCCCTTCACAAGGTCAAGCCCAATGTCTCCCATAGGGCCCTAATGAAGTGGGCCAAAGTTCAGTGCTCCTTGTTCCCTTGCTTTCTTGAATAAATACAATGGTCACAGCCTCCCCTTAGTGCTGTGCCTCCCTAGTGTGGAAACTGCCCTGTTCCTGCTGTGTGACACCCCTGGCTCTTTGTCCCTTGATTGCGCTCAGGGAACTCAGTGAGTCCAGTCATTCTCTCTAATACCTGCCTCTAATCCACAGATCTCGATTTTAGGCTTGTTGACCTGTGTTCTCTGTACTGAACTTCGTCCCACCTTGGAGACTGTCTGGGGAACTCACCCTGTATTTGGACACCAACAGGCATTTCCTTGAAGGACTTGAAATTTCAGTCATTCAGCTGTGCAAGCACGGGAATAGATGTCGATGGCCTTTGTGACCGGAGAATGGACTTTACTGGCTTGAAGCTTTGATGCGGCTTCTGTCTGGGCCACCTCTGCCCCATCCCTTTCCTTCTCCATGAACACCAGAGAAGCAGAAGTAAATTTAAACTTAGAACTAAAAGGAGATTTGAAATATTGGGAAAATGAAAACTTTTTGAATCTCAGGAGAAAAGAGGTTATTGATAATCATTCAGCATCTTCTCTCCCATCTTCCTGGTGAAAGGCCACAGATACCCTCAGTCCTTCAAAGCCCACCAACCTGAAGATTCCATTGTCTGTTATGCTCTGAATGTGAAATACCCCCATAAGCTCGTATGCTGGAATAATAGGTTGTCAGCTGGTAGTGCTGTTTGGGAAGACTATGAAACATTCTGGAAGCAGGGAGCCTTGATGGAGGATGTACATCACTGGGGGGCAGGCCTTAAGGGTTTACAGCCTCACTCCACTTCCTACACGCTTTGCTTCCAGAATGTCGATGTAGTCTAACAGGTTGGCCTCACGCTGCTGCTGTCATACCTTCCCCACCCTGATGGACTGTATCCCCTCTGGAACTGTGTGCCCAAATAAACCCTTTCTGCCTTGAGTTTCTTTTGTCAGGTGTCTGATCACAGTGATGAGAAAGTAATACACAGTCCTTACGGTCAGTGTCCCTTTGTGGTCACACTTGGATTTGGAATGTATGGTTGCTCCGAGAGGTCATGGCGAATTTGAACATGAATGCAATTTTAACAAATGCTTGTATTTTCATGAGACACACATACACAAACCACACATACATAATTCATACAGTCTAATCCTTGGGGAGAATGTCTGCCATTTGGTTGTCAAGGTAAAATGTGACTGGGAGCCTGGAAAAGCCTGCTGTAAACTTTTTCTCCAGAAGCCTTCCTCGTGGTTACAACAAAAACAAATCAGATCATAGAGACTCTTACTGTATATTGACCTGGGGACCCAAAAGCCGGAAGAGATAATACACAGAAAGCTATACAGCACTCCAAGGACCATCATCTCTCCATAAAATCGGCAGTCACGAAGGCAATAACAATGCACAATGCTACACGATGGTTACAGTCTATTCTAGAATGTGCAGAGAAGTACCTGCTTTAAACTGTTACATGTAAGACAGGTGCAGTCTGTATGTATTCAGTGCAATGCATCACATTTGTCAGTTACTGGGTATAAAAATATATATGTATATGTATTGCTTTCAAAATGTGGAACGAGTTAACACACAAGGCTTTTCTGATAAACCATAAACAATAAGTCAGCACTTGGATCTGATGAAGAATTGCTGTCACACTTCCACATGTTCATTCTGCTTAGCTCAGACCTTGACATACAAATGTATATATGCATGCATGTGCTTATCACCAAGAGAACCATGTCTGCTTTGGGCACACTGCTTACAAATATCATCATCCATCCAGAAGCAATCTCATGGTGTGATTTCCTCCAGGTTTTCTCCACTGTCTTTTATTTCCCCCCGCCCCCAGCTAAGAAAATACCAGGAAGATACTAAGCTCATTCCCCTAAGAACTTACTTACAATGTACATTTCTGAGCCATATATTTCATCCTCAATGTTGCAGTATTTGAGTGGTTATATTACATCACAAACACGGAACTCTTAAAATGTGATCCTTAATGTGATCTCCATTAGTCTTTTTCTTTCCTTCCTCCCTTCCTCCCTTCCTCCCTCCCTCCCTCCCTTTCTTCTTCCTTCCGTAACTCAATTCACTGTCTTACTTCCTAGGCACTAGCTTTTTACATATTATTTCCATCAAAGCTTATCTTGTAGCCAATAGCAAAAATAGTGAAAAAGTCTCTTCAAGATTCTATTTTACAATATATAGAGAATAGATGGTCCTTGGGGGATTTGAGTCTTTCTTAAATACTATACACATTTGGTATCACATGAGGGGTAGAGGTAAGGACAAAAATAAACACAATTGCTTTTAGTCTGCCTTCAGTCTGAGAAACCATCTTCTCTACTGAAAAGGGCTCTTCAGCGTCTGCTCCCATAAGTCTGCAGAGAGAACACTTTACCCATAGCTTTGGGCAGGTCACTTTTTCACAGCATGTCCCCTGTTTCTGAGAGGTCACGTGGGCTGGCATTGTCAGGTCCTAGTTAAGCAATGAGTAAGCACTGGATGAATTTTCCAAGGATGAGCTGGTTGTTTCTGGGCTGGAAACATTATACGTCCCTAAAATAAAGAAAACAAAAAACGGAAGCCACTCAGCGTCAAAGACAAACCTTCATGAACTTTGAGGTGTGAACATCTAATGGAGTCAGGTGAGCTCCGGTCCAGGAGCCCAGAAACTAACCATGCCTGGAAACCAACCATGCCTGCCCCTCCCCCGCCCAGAGTGCCAGAGAACACACGACACAAGCGCTGTCCTCAAGCATGCACAGCAGCCACCAAGCACTAACTACTCAACCTCACACCAGCCAGATTTCCACACAAGACAAAATGATCTCGAGGTGGGCAGCCTCTCCGCAAACCCCCACATGCATGGACCTGGGGGCACCTGGATGAGGGAAAACTCCCTGGTCCCTTTGTTTATCGGGACTGAGGGAAGCTCTTAGGAAGGAACTGGATGTTGAGCTGAAGGCAAAGGTTTCTAAAGGGTAGAAAAGGAAGGCGAGGAGAAAGGGCAGGGAAGGGAGAGGCAGGAGCATAAAGAAGTGAACGACCCACAGGCGTGCTGAGCACTAGTGCGGCAGGAAGGGTAGTTTTGGCGCGACTGCTCAGCCTTGTGTGGGCAGACGGCAGGCACTGTGCGCAGAAAGGGGTAGGGAGCGTATGCTGGGAAAGGGAAGGGTTGAAGTGGCCATCCTACCATCAGAATGATGAACTGCCACTGCTAACAGGGTTTCCATCATTGCCTGGGGGGACCTTTGGGGCTGCTGGCAACATAAACCAAAGTTATAGTAATTAGGGGCCCCCCAAATTAGCCAGAGTGGGGCTATACAGACTGTCCATGCAAGATTATCCAGTGGTAATAGTAGGAATCTCAGACCCTGGTACCCCAGGGATAGAGCCCACACTCCTGCTCTGATTTGGAACATTCATAAATAAAGAATGCATTTTGTGGGCCTGATTCATTACACAGTTCTGATTCAGTAGAATTATTTAATGGTTTTTCTTGTAACGTTCATCCGTTGAGGATGATAAATGCTACTTAAGTCTCATGGTTCCAACACACCGAAGACTGGATCATTTCACGACAGTTAAAATTAGTGGCTTTCAAAGTGAAAAGTGACAGTCCTCCGGTGTCATGAGTGATTCACCAAATGGAAACAGGAAGAACTAAATCCACTGGAGGTTTGGTCATGTCGGGTGGTCTCCAAATATTCAGATTCATGTTTGGATCACAAATTTATAAAAGCTGTGGTCTGGAATATTGACACGCTTCTCAATTTTGTATTTGTGAGATCTGATTTTAAAGAGCTGGAAGGAGGATGGGGTGGAGTTCTTGCTTCATGCACCTGAGGTTCGAGCCCCAACATTGAAAAAGAAAATAAAAGAAGTTTGGTGTTTATTAGCAGTGGTACCCAAATGTTTTCTGGGGGGACAGTGGCACCAGACTGTCCTGTTGGAGGCAGTGGCACATGACTGGGATTTCCATTCAGAATGACCAAGATCCATTGCCAAAGTTATTAATATTATTTATTTATTTGTTTGTTTGTTTGTTTGTTTTTTCCAGAACTCAGGACGGAACCCAAGGGCCTTGTGCTTGCTAGGCTAATACTCCACCACTGAGCTATATCCCAACTCTGAGTATGAGCATTTCTAATAAACTAACGGGTTATTCCTCCTACATGTATACCCAGTTTTACAGGTGTCAATGTGTAAAGCAAGCATGTGCAATAAAAGGGGAAATAAAAAGAAGGAAAACAAATCCAGCATCCAACCCTGTAATGGATTTTTCCCACATGCATTCTTCACACGACACAGAAATGTGACCTGCCTACTTTTTAACACAGAGGAAGAGCTCCGTCTTTGATAAGCCCAGAGGTTTACAGAGCCTACTGTATGTGTTTGATGGACAGAACTCCAAGACTCATCGAGACTCTAAAATCTTCTGGAGTTAATTTCAGTTGCCCACTTAGAGCGGCAGCTGTCAATCCCAACCTCCTTGTCGTGTGTGAAAACAGAAGCAAGTTCTTATATTTAACCTCTTCCCTAAACAAAGCTCTTTCTGTTCACAGCCGTGGAGTGGGCGTGGAAGAAGAGGGGTGTTGGATCAGGGCCCATTTGATTTAGTCAACCCAGGAGTACCTAGTAGTCACTACGTACCTGTTTTACCAAAAAGATTGTTAAATCTTCTTGATATTGGAGAACTCATAGAAAACGCGGGTGTAGATGAAGCTAAGGACGTTGACTATAAGAGAGAGGGGGGTAAGCAAACAAAGCAAGTCTGTTAGACCAGGCTCCTTTCTGATATCTTGGAGGGTTTGACTGGCTGCCCTCTTATGGTCACTTGCGTGCATTTCTAATTTTACCCCCTTAGGCTGTGTGGAGGCAGAGGAATGTTACACTGAATTAGAAAAGTGCCTGCAAATATATGAGCTGTTCTTCCTTTCTCTCTCCCTCTCTCCTCCTTGCCTGGCCCTTCTTTCCTTTCCTTCCCTTCCCTTCCCTCCCTCCCCTCCCCTTCCCTCCCTTCCCCTCTTCTCTTTTTCTGCCTTGTCCTCCCCTCCCCTCTGATGTCCTCCCCTCTCCTCTCCCTCCCTCCCTTTCCCCCTCTCTGTTTTTCTGTCTTTCTCCCTAAGGATCCAGTCTAGCTCTTTTCATATACTAATCACAAACTGAGTTATACCCCCAGCATAAATATCTGTATAACTGCTTGGTAGGTTTTTCTAAGGTATTTTAGCATATAAGAACTAGCCAATTATATTTAAGGACAATAAATATTGTTCTATTCTAAAAATAAAACTATAGAAAATTTTAATTATTAACCCTCAGATTGTTTTTTTCTAATGCCTTGAGTTCCACTCAGAAGATTCTCATTGAGATTTTGATCTTCACCTAGAGAATTTAGTGGTATTGCTACTGACCGGTTTTTGAGATAGGGTCTCACTCTGTAGACCTAGCTAGCCTGGTGGCACTTACTAAGTAGCCCAGGCTAGTCTCCAACTCCTTGTAATCCTATTACCTCAGCCTCCCAAGGGCTGGGTTAGCAGGTGTACACCACCACACTGGCTCAACTTTCACTTTCAGATTATCTGTCATTGAAAGCTGTGCAGTGGGACCTTAACGAGGGCTGCATGGTGCAGAGAGGAGGAGATAAGAACTGAATAATTATGACAGAACTATGGAAGTAGAGGGGTTTATATTTTACCCCAGTGATCACAATCCCAAGGTAAATCTTTAGTGTACTCCATTTTATCCTATTAGTAGAGACCAGGACGATATGGACTAGGAAGACCCCTTAGGGACCAGGCTTTTACCTTTGAGTGCTGAGAAGACCATCTTGACAATGAAAACTTATTCATTAAAGCTTCTTGCACCTGCATGGTTTAGAACAAGTCAATGTAAATTCAATAGACTTTGGGCACTTTAGACTGTTCTAGAAGCATGAAACTATCATTGTTCTTACCTTCTGATCCCAGAGGCATCCGAAGAGTAAAATGAATAACCCCTAGGGAAAGGATTAAGAAGGTCAATTTAACCTCACACATCTTCCAGTTAAATGGGAAGCATTATTAAGCAGATGTTGAGTCTGTACCACCTCTTTTACCATCTGAGTCGATGGAATTAGTCAGGGACGTGATAATATTAAAAGTAATAAAGTTGGTCCACACTAAGGGCCCTAAATGACTGATGCTGGGAGGATACTTTCTATCTCCCTATAATCATGAATGGTATGTCCTACAAGCTATGCCACTGAACACATTTCTCATATCTGCATTATTCCTCATGTATCCACACAGGCTGTGATGACAATCCGGGGCATAGGGTGAGATGGTTCCTTCCCAAGAAGAAGGCATATCTTGAAGATCATTAGCTAAGAACCTTATAGCTCAGAGCTACAGGAGTTGGGGTTCATAGGGGAATGTCACAAGCATCCAAGAAGCAAGATGTCAACTCCCCTCCAGACCTCTTGTTTCCTTGTCATTGTCTCTCTGTTAAAGCTCATCTAACAAGATGACCTATACTGTAATTGACTACATTTGAAAGGAGAACCAAGGGATGTCTTCATCGTAATATAACCGAACAGATTGTCTGGCATTCACAAAGCATGCATTCATTCTTTCATCTTTCAACAAATATTTCCAGGGAAACCATGTGCTACATAGCATCCATTTTCTTCAAATGGGTTTTGAGAACCTACTGTGTACCAAGGTCTTTATTAGGTACTAGAGAGGGAGATATTTTGATGAACAGAAAACCGGTCCTCATAAATCAGAGCTCAATGGGGCTCATGGAGACTAACCGGAGACTGACTTGGCTTAGTAGTAGTGTTGTTCTTATTTACGAGATAAGACTTCATCAAGATTATCATGGGTAAACAGCATCATCTATTTTACTAGTTACTTTCTTCCTATTTGTATTATCAGAACATGGAGCTAAGCTATAATGGAAATGATCAAAGGTATAAGGTTCCATGGCAGCAAAAGAATGGGCCCTTTTACCTCATTAAGTGTTTACAATTACTTCTCTTTGAGACTAAGGTTTCCTGTGCATTAAAACCCTTCCCCATTTCCCTTCTTGTTTGTGTTTCTATCATTAGTTCATCCCAACAGAGTGGGCATTTCCCGAGAGCCCAGCAGGGCAGAGCTCACCTGGAAGGCATTAAGGAGGGTAAAGACAATATGGAACACTGCACTGCTCCCCTGGATCACTGTGGCAAGACCAAAGCCCCAAGTGAGCCCCAAGAGCGGTGTGAGGACTCCGATGCTCTTGCTGATCTGAAACAGGCTGTTCTTCTCCTGCTTGCTGGGCTTGTCGCCAATGGAGGGCCTCAAGATCTTGCTGATAACAACAACTGTGATGGTCACGTTTATCACCACAATAATCAGTGCTGGGACGGCGAAAGCCAGCAGGGCCCTGGTGTCCTCCCAGTTGAGCCAACAGGCATTTTTCCTCATGTAGACTTCCTGTGGCTGGGTAACCCCAACCGTGATGACTGAGATGATCAAGGGACAGCCATAACCTAGACAAAAGGCAATGGCTTTCTGGGTGGACTTGCTTGCATCATGTAGAATGAAAACCAGGCGGTAGAAAAGCATGAGGCCCAGAGTCAGCATCCAGAAGAAGACGCTGAGGTAGAAGAAATGGATGAAGAAGGTGGCGGCCACACAGGCTGTTTTGTTGAGTGGATAGCGACCATTGTGGATAGCATCCGCCACAATGAACCAGATATCAGCAATCAGGAGACAGGAAGTAATGTTCACGATGCAGATGTGGCGCATGTAGGAAGTTCGGTTCTTAGTCACTGATTTCCACACCATGGCTTCCACGACTAGACAGGCTGCCAAGCTCAAGATGGAAAAACCCAACCCAATGTAAGAGATGATATCCAGAAGTATTTCCATAAGAGTACCAGGACCTGGAGAGTCTGGGGACATGAGGATGGAGAAGGACGTCAGGTGGTTACATTTGCAGAGGACTCTGTCCCTATCTCCCCTACCATCATCTTCCACAGAGCAGCCACTGCTGTCCCACCCCCCTGTGTAGTTGGCAAGGCTGAAGTTCCAGAAGACACACTGAGGCTTTCCATCAGAAGGGTGGTTGTTCTTAAAAGTCATGGAAATCCTGAATGGCTTGGTTATCTTGTGGCTGATGGTGGTTGTCATGACTAAGCTGTTAGAGGATGCTGTTTCCTGCACATCTTGGGCAAGGATGGCCTTGAGAGTCGGGAAAGCCACGGTGACGATAGATGAATCAGGCTGTAAGTTTCCCAGCTGGCACTCATCAATGGCTACATCACCCCACAGGTTGGAGTCTGTGAAAACAAACTTCTGTTGGTAGATTTGGGTGTGGCCACGTTTTATTACCATGCTCTTCATCTGAACATTAGGGTGGAAGAGGAACGAGGGGGTGCTATCTCCCAACTGTAGTGCTTGGGAAAATCTTTCTACTGATTGCAAGAGCTGAGAGCTCTGGTGAGACTCTTGTTGCAGCATCTCCCAGGTGCCCAAGGTGGACTTGTCTAAGATGACGTTAATGGTAGACAGCACGTCCTGTAAGTGATATGGCATCGGATCAAACCACCAAACGTTTCTCAACATAAAACAGACAAAGTAACACTTCCCCGGAAACAAGTTATTGTGTACAAGTAAAGGGAAGAGAGCAGAGAGAGTGAGACATCACAAGCCTAGACGTGTCCCTGCTTTCTAACAGCAGAGGAGAGCTGAGGAGGAGCCCCATTTCGTACCAATGGCTGTAAGAAACGTTCCCACCACTACTGAGGCCTATTCAGCAGGCTTGAGGAGATATTATTTATTTTGTGTGTGTATATATGTGTTTGTGTGTGTACATGCATGTGTATACGTGAGTGTGCAGAGGCCATAGGTGGAGATCATGTATTTTTCTCAATTGCTGCCTACCTTATCTTTTCAGACAGCATCTCTCACCAAACCTGGAGCTCATTGATTCAACTAGCCTGGCTGGCCCGGGAGCTCCAGGGGATCCTGTTGTCCGCTTCCAAGGCTCTTTGATTACACACACTGTGCCCAGCTACGTTTTTACATGGGTACTGGAGTCTGAACTCAGATCCTCATGCTCTTATGGAAAGCACGCTACAGACATTTCCCCTAGGCCCCTCACAACTACATACTTTGAAACTCTTTAATTCCTAGTTTTCCTGGGAGATTAGTAGGCATCCATTCTGTTTAAACAAAGAAACTACAGCAAACACTCACTACAGAAAACTTAAGATCCCCAAATGAATACTGGAAACACTCTGACGCCTTAGAAGCCATAGCTTGGCGAGCTCCCTATGTGACGCTCATATCAAGTCACTGCTCTGGAGAAGAGAAACCTCTGCAGTGGGGAAGGAGTTACACTTCTCAAACACGGGTCTAGACAGGCGAGAGGGCAAGATCCAAAGCTACCACGAGGCTTAGGTACACTTACCTTCATCATTTCTGAATTCACTTGGGTTGGAACTGTTGAGAGCAAATCAAGGATACTAATGATGGCTCCCAGGCTCCCTGGAGATGAGCGGATGTTCGGTTCCTCCTTACCAGTGCTCACAGAAAGGTCCTTAAGGTACACAGGGAGCTTCTGGTCCTGAGAGGGGCTCTTGATCAAAGCCTAGTGAAACAAATGCCATAACAAATGAGGAATCTTTGATCCTGCTCATCCCACAGTTGCGGCCTTCTCATGCCTATAAGCACAAGTATATACCATGAGATAAAGCACTTGCCTCTGAAACTGTGTGCCCCTCAGAAAGGAATGTCTTAAGATCCCCGTACATAGAAAGGAAAGAGCTAAATATATGTGTCATGGCTAATCTTGGTTGTTACCATGACTGGATCTGGAATTAACTAAAATGTGAGGAACTTTCTTTTCTTTTCTTTTCTTTTTTTTTTTTGGTCTTTTTGAGACAGGGTCTTTCTGTAGCCCCAGCTGTCCCGGAACTCACTATGTAGACCAGGCTGGCCTTGAACTCAAAGAGATCCGCCTGCCTCTGCCTCCCAAGTGCTGGGACTACAGGTGTGCTTTCTTAATCTGATTATTTGAAGTCAGAAAACCCATGCTTAATGTGGGCAGCACCTTTTGGTGGCGGCCCATGCCAAAAACAAACATGGCAGAAGGGAACTTTATTTTTGCTTGCTTGCCTTTGCTCTCACTGGTTAGTGTATTTTGTTACTGTGGCATTCCTTTGCCGACATTAGAACCAACTTCAGATTTCAATGTAAACTGAAGACCAAGAGGTCTCTAGGAATCCTTCAGGACTTCAGCTCTAGATTGGAGCTGCTGAGACATCCAGCCTCATGGACTAAGAAACTACCAGATTCTCAGCCTCTCCAGTGTGGCACAGCCTTTGTTGGACTACTTAGACTCTATCCTGTAAGCTAGTCTAGTAAATCCATATATATTCACTTTATCGTCCTGTTCCTTTAGAGAACCCTGACTAATAATATATGCCGACCTGAAAACTAACTAGAAACAAAGGTAGAATCAACTTGTCTCAGACAGTCTGCTTGGAGACATTTACCACCTGTTCTATCTCATAACATTTACTCTGCTAATTATGAAAGGGATTGTCCATAACTATTTTGTTGTTTTGGATCTATTCTCCCAATGTAATTGTTGAACATCCTCTGTTATTCTCAGAGTGTCCTGACTCAGACAACAGATTACATACACATCTGTTTTCTTACTAACTCTTCAAAATTAAGAAGTGAGTTGATAATCTTTCATATAGAAAACCCTTCTTCTACAGGAAGCATCCAATAAGTGTTCCCTCTCTGAATGCACAAATATTTGTTTTATTTAACATACTTTACATCTGTGACATCTTGATTAATGTTATCTTGTATTTCACTTTTAATACCTCACTAAGGGAACTAATATTTATTGAATCTTATATTACTCCTCTTTCTGAAAATATTACAGCTATTTTTTATCAAAGCTATTTGAAGGGCCACTCCTTCTAGATATTAGACATGAAGTACTGAGCAGGGTATCCTAGAGTGCAACACACACCTTGTTGCCATTGTGTTCAAATGTAAGCATTTTCAAGCATTTTTAGGTTACATTTTCGTGATGGTTGATTTTGATTATCAACTTGATGGGATTTAGACTCACCAAGGAAACAAACCTCTAGGCACGTCTGAGAGGAAGTTTCTAGATTTGGTTAAACTGCAGTGGGAAGACCCACACTAACTGTGGGTGTTACCATTCCATGGGTTGGGGTCCTGGACTGAATAAAAAGGAGAAAGCAAGCAGAGCACCAGCATTCATCTCTCTCTGCTTCCTGACTGCAGATGCAATGTGACCAGCTGCCTCCCACTCCTACCTCTATGCTTTCTCTGCCATGATGGACTGCACCCTCGAGCTGTGATCTAAAATAAATCCTTACTTACTTACATTGTGTTGGTCAGGTATTTTGTCTCAGTAACTAGAAAAGTAACCAATATAATCTGTTTTACAACATACAAATCAAAGTAGATTTTGGAGGAATACATAGCATCTCATGACTGATTTTTCCAAATGCTAAGGAATCTGATGGGCCAGACAGATCTCCCCACCAAGAGCTCAGAATTAAGTGTTTCAGGTTCACCTTGGCCAGCTGGAGCAGACCATTGATCGGAGGGGAGATGCAGCTTTTTTTCTCCACCTTCCACTGGGAGCCCATACATTTGTACTTAACAATCCCTCCGACGATCTGGCCATGGATTCTAGGAACACTTGAAAATTGGCACAACTTCTGGATGACTTTTCCAGGCTCCCCAATACCTATTACAGGATCCCAGCAGGTGATGTTCTCCCCTGCATTGAAAATGTGAATAAAAGGAACAATTAAGAAATTTTTTTTCAGGCTGGAGAGATGGCTCAGTGGTTAAAATCACTGGCTGCTCTTTTAGAGGACCCAAGTTCAATTCCCAGTATCCATATGGCATCTAATAACCATTTGTAACTCCAGTTCCAGGGAAATCCAATGCCCTCTTCTGATGTCTATTGGCATTGCACAACACATGTGTACTTACATGCATGTAGACAATACACTAATAGACATAAAATTGAAAAATAACAAATGAAATATTTTTTAAAAATCAGTCATGAAGAACAAAATTATGTCATTACAGAAAAATGTATGTTACTGAAGATAAACATATTGACTGAATTAAAACAGTCTAGAAAGACAAATATTGTATTATTTCTCACATTTGTGGTTCCCAAATTTATATAAATTCATGAAATCATGTATTTATATATGACATAAAGGCAGAAGTGAAACTGTCTAGGGGAACAAAGAGGAACAGTTTGGGGGAGTGGAGAGTGAGAAAGGGGAGGGTAAGACTTATGGGGGGATACGCTCAACATGCAATACATACTTCTACAGAAATGTCCTTATGTAACACAGTACATTGTACAATGAATACATACAGTGAACTGTTTCAAAAGAAATTAAAATAGAAAATTCAAGATCAATGATTATGAGACTTTCAGAAGTTGAACATCTTGAATCGAAAACTTGAAATCCAAAACACTTTAGATTCTGAATATTTCTAAATTTATAGGTATGCGTGTGTGGGTGCTACATGTGTGCAGGTGCCTGTGGAGGCCTTAAGAGGGCCTCAGATCCCCTGGAGCTAAAGTTGCAGGTGGGTGTGGGCTGCAATGTAGGTGCTGAGACCTGAACTCGGGACCTCTGCAGGCAGTGTTCTCAGTCACTGAACCAATTCTCAAGTCCCAATTCTGAATATTTCTCAGTATCAACATGAAGCCACGAATGGGAAATTCCACACTTGGAACTTTTAAATTTGTAAAATCATCTTGGTTTTGTTTTGCTGACAATGGACCTCTGCTGGTGAGTGCCCTATCATCAGGCTATATGCCCTGTCTACTGTCAAAACCATTAAAAATGTGTATAAAATTTCTTTGAATGGGACTATTGAAAGGACAAGCAAAAACAATAGAAATAAAGATGAGGCTGTGAAGTTTGGGTTCATATTTTTCTTTGTTTTTAGTGGCCTTGTGAGAACTACTCAACTCCTTAATTTTGTTCCTGGTTTTCTGCCCTTTACTGCTTTCACTCTTGAGTGGTCTTCTGTAATTTACACTTGCTTTTCCAAACAGAACTGATTCCTCTGTGCTTCATCACCTCCAATCACCAAGACTCTCCTCTTTGATTTCGGGAAAATCTCAAGCATGGAAAATAACAAGAGCTTAATGTATGATTATTCAGTAAGAAGTGGTCCTGTTTACCAGGAATCTTAAAGACATAGTTCCTACCTTGGTGTCCTGATCCCAATGACCAATACACATAAGAATGCCCACAAATCATTCAGGAAACGCAAGCAAGCTTGGTGATAGAGCTATGGATCCTTCGTATATGAACCTGTTACCGAGGAGACCTCTTTATCTCTTTACCCCTCTGATTAGTGAGGAGGGTTCTCCTGCATGAGCTCACTTAGAAACAGCTGTAATACCCCGAGCGCCTCCATTTTGTGTAAGTTTAACTGATCAATCATGTGGTCATAGGACCACCCTAGGAAGCAGGTTATGCTAAATAAAAGGGCAGAATACCTAGTGCGTTAACGAGATAGCGAGTTTCTCCTGCCTGGGATCCCAGACTAGCTACAATGTAAGTTTAACTGATCAATCATGTGGTCATAGGACCACCCTAGGAAGGCAGGTTATGCTAAATAAAAGGGCAGAATACCTAATGCGTTAACGAGATAGCGAGTTTCTCCTGCCTGGGATCCCAGACTAGCTACAGCCATGTAGTCTGTGAGTTTGTCCATTTCCCTGAGTTCTTCAGGGAAGCATAATTTCTCCTTTTCTTTATGGCTCTCCTTTCTTAATAAACATGCTTTCTTTAAGGCTTTGGGCTGCCCCTAGCATCTTGTATTTCTTTACTTTCTCTAAAGCGTCCTTCTCCCAGCCATGTGGCTGACTCTGACCTTCATGCAGGCTCTAAACCTGCATGACTTTATGGCTTTCTTTCCTTCTTCCCACCATTCACTTCCTCAAGGCAGCTGCCAAGATTACCAGCTCTCCTGCCTGAAGACTTCTTTTTCTTTAAATTTCTAATAAAATTGTAAAAGCTTAATTCAGCTGACTTGGAACTTTCTGAGTCTATGTAGTCTTTCCCGGTGGTCCTAAAGTCCATGACACAGCCACACAAATCTTGACTTTTCATCTTGATAGTATGCCAGGACATATTGGTTCAGTAGTGACAAAGGATGGGGAAGGCAGGCACCTGCTCTTCATATCAATTCTTTTATTTAAATTTTTTATTTATTTTTCGAAATTCTGTGTATATGTATGTGTGTCTGTATGTGGGTTGATGCATGGGTGCCAGTGGAGTGGGATTCCACCAGGAGTTGGAGTCACAGGCTTTTGTTAGCCACCCAATGTTAATGCTGGGAACAGAACTCCTGTCTTCTGGAAGAGCTCAGATACCTGTTCTTAACCATTAAGGCATCTCTCCAACCCAAAGATTTGATTTATTTTTATTTTATGTGTATGAGTGTTTTGCCTGCATGTATGTAGTATATCACGAGTGTGCTTGGTGCTGTCGGAGGCCAGAAGAAGGCATTGGATCCTCTGGAACTGGAGTTAAGGCTGGATGTGGGTGCTGGGAATGGAACCTGGGTCCTCTGCAAGAGCAACCAGTGCTGTTAACCACTGAGCCGTCTCTCGAGCTCTCGGTTTTCTTACTGCTCTACCTCAAGAAGAGAGTGTGGGTAAAGAAGACACAGTCAAAGACGTCTCAACTGCACCCTGACACTGCCCAGTACCATCTGCCTGGTGACCTCCTCAGCTCAGCTAAAGTGTGATTTCGCCTGCTAGACTTTCTCTTTACTTCCTTCCCCTCTACCAGCAAAAGAATTCAACCAATAATAGCTCTCTCTCTTTGTGTTAATCAGAGCAGTGGCAATAGCATTTTGGATAACTTCTGTTCCTTCTTCCAGAGGCTTGAGGCCAAGTAATATGGCTTCCTTCTTTTCCAATCCCCTAAGGTTAGCCCAGGACCACCATGAAGGTATTTCACATGTATTCACTGGGTATACAAATGGAAGAGTCAATGAATAATGCATCCCGGCTCCTGAGTATAACGCTTGAAACTAACAGGGTGTACTTACCAGGAACCAAGGAAAGCTTCATGGATGGGCTCCGGACTGAGTTATTAGCAACATTGGTAAAGTGGCAAAACACGTCGATGTTCTTTGGACACCAACCAAGTAAGCTTGGTGCGAAATTGTACTTGTAGCACACCTGCTTTCCATTCACTTCTTTTGCTAAAGATAAGGTTATTGAGAGCATGAATTCACATGAACAGCCAAAGCAGAAAACTTGTCAAGATATTCCAGTATGAATAAACCTGCCCGATAGTCTCTCAGGAATGTGTGACGTTCACTGTTAATGTACTTTCACATATTTACAGGAAAATAACCTCTGGCTTTCAAAGTAGGTACATTTACTTTTGCATGTGTGCTAGTCAAATTGTCACCTTGACCATTTATGATTTCCAGTCTGAGTCCACACCATGCTCACCTATTGATTTATAATCACCTCTTTATAGATCCACCCCCCCACTACCCTATAAACTGTACAGAAAGTCCCCAGTCATATCTATTTTTGCCTCTCTCAGTGCTTAGTTCTGTATCTGGTACATAAAAAGCACCAAATTCATACACAGTGAAATATTTGCATACTTTAATATCCATACCAAGCCTCTGTTCTACCATGCAATGGAGCCTTCTCTGAATATTCCCATCTATTTTTTTTCTTTTTTGGTCTTTTTGAGTCAGGGTCTCCTTATAAGCCCAGCTGGCCTGGAACTCAGTCTCACAGAAGCTGCGTGCCTCCTGCTTCCCAAGTGCTGGGAAGAAAAGCCTGTGCCACCATGCCCAGCTTCCCATCTATTTTTAAGATTTATTTTATTATTTTGATTTATATCTGTGTATATATGTGTCATTCTGTGAATATGCAGATGTGGGGGGTGCTCACAGAGGCCAAAAGAGGGCTTCAGAGCTCCTGGAGCTGAAGCTACAGGTAGATGTGAGCTGCCCCACATGGGTGCAGGGAACAAAACTCAGGTCATCTACAAGGGGAGTGGGGAGTATAAGGTTCAGGTACCATTTAGAGAATAAAGTCTTTCTTTCATGATTCCTAGAGCCTTAAACTCAAGGTTCTGGGGTTTGGATATTGGTGAACACCTCAGGAACATTACCTGAAGCTTTGTGGTGCTTTCTTCTCTGTTTCTGGTACTTAGTTATTTCTTATTTTCTTGGCAGCTCGGTTGTGGGTTTAGAAGGATTATTGTGTCATTTTATATCAGATTATCTTATAACATAGAAGGAGAGGTCATCAGAATATCTAGTCAGCTATATTCAGAGAGAGGAGATGAAGGAAAACCTATGACTGATTTTTAAACACTGGCTTTGTGCTTCCCACTGAAAGAATGGGCTCCACTCAAAGCTTCTCCTTCAAGCCAGTGAGTCATCATTCACTTTCCAAAACAGAGGGAATAACAAATACTCATGGGATTTGCCCTGTTATATTTTATCCTGACACAATCACCAGGATTTTTATCTTTGAGTACTAAGGATTGATCTTAGGGACATCTCACACACTACACAAGTGCTCTGCACCTGGGTGACATTCCCAGCCCTCTTTTTACTTTTTATTTTATAGAGACATAGTCTAAGACTAAGTCATAGACTAAGTTGTCCAGTCTGGTTTTAAATTCGCTATGGTAGCTCAGGTAGGCCTTGCACTTGAATCCTCCTGCCTCAGCTTCCCAAGTAACTAAGATTATAGACCTATACAACCAGGCCTTGCTCATTCTCTATGATTTTTTAATCTCTATTTTAAGAGTAACATTTCACATCTATGAGATAATACACTCCATCAATTGGATGGTCTGCATCCTACCGGCAGGAAAGGATAAGGAATCCACATGGAAAGTTACTGAGTAGTCTTCATCCTCTTCTATGCAGCACTTGAACTGATGAGAACTTGTGCACAGGCCAGTGACTTCCAAAGGATCCCTCATGATGTCTGACTCTAGAGGCAGTGGGTAAACAGTGACATCTTTGGTGGCAACACTGTACGAATTCTTGTATCTAAATATGCAATGGTAGGTTCCTGAATGAGTGGAAGAAAAAAACAAGATAAAGTCATTGCTCCTAAAATGCATCATTGGTAAGGGTAAGAAGAGGATCAGCTTTTTCTCTCAAACTTGGGAAGGACCCGCTCCACCTCTGCAGACACTGAAGAAGCAAAGGCTGGATCTACGTCCTGAGTTCTTCATATGTCCACAAGTCTACCCAATCACAACTCACCCCCAAGGATTCATTCACTCAAATCAAATTGACTTGTTCAAGGCTAGGAGGGGAATTGGGTTTCAAACCAGCTTCTAAATTTCTCCTCAAAGCTTCCTCCTCAACCAAGGAAAAGACATGGGGACTCTGAGGTGACAAGATTTTAGAGGAGTGGGGACATGACAGAGCACTTTGGTGTTATCATGCCCACTTCTTTATCTCTGGGAGAATGGTCCCTTAGGCTCCATAGGACACCATGGCATCAAAGGACAAGTCACCATCTAAGCAGCTGCCCTGGATATTTAAGTACTTAGCACAGCACCTATCATAAAGTCTCAATATTTGTCAGCTATCACTGAGTAGTTCTACCAAATCCTCTTTGCTTTCAGTGATTTGTATTTCCTTCCAATATGAACAATGTGGAGAGATAAACAGGAAATAAAAATGCTTCTTTTCTTGGAACTAGACATGGGAAACAATTTCCCAGAGATTTGATAGCATAATTGGGCAGGATTGTACTAAGCACATAGTAAAGTTACTTTTATTATTATTATTGTGTGTGTCTGAGAGAGAGAGAGAGAGAGAGAGAGAGAGAGAGAGAGAGA